AAGAAGAACAGACAAAACCCAAAGTGAGCAGAAGAAAAGAAATCATAAAGGTCAGAGCAGAAATAAATGAAATAGAATCAAGGAAAACAATAGCAAAGATGAATAAAACTAAAAGCTGGTTCTTTGAGAAGATAAACAAAATTGATAAACCATTAGCCAGACTCATCAAGGAAAAAAGGGAGAAGACTCAAATCAACAGAATCAGAAATGAAAAAGGAGAAGTAACAACTGACTCTGCAGAAATACAAAGGATCATGAGAGATTACTACAAGCAGCTGTATGCCAATAAAATGGACAACCTGGAAGAAATGGACAAGTTCTTAGAAAGATATAACCTTCCAAGACTGAACCAGGAAGAAAGAGAAAATATAAACAGACCTATCACAAATAATGAAATTGAAACTGTGATGAAAAATCTTCCAGCAAACAAAAGCCCAGGACCAGATGACTTCACAGGTGAATTCTATCAAACATTTAGAGAAGAGCTAACACCTATCCTTTTCAAACTCTTCCAAAATATAGCAGAGGGAGGAACACTCCCAAACTCATTCTACGAGGCCACCATCACCCTGATACCAAAACCAGACAAAGATGTCTCAAAGAAAGAAAACTACAGGCCAATATCGCTGATGAGCATACATGAAAAAATCCTCAACAAAATACTAGCAAACAGAATCCAATAGCACATTAAAAGGATCATACACCATAATCAAGTGGGGTTTATCCCAGGAATGCAAGGATTCTTCAATATACACAAATCAATCACTGTGATAAACCATAATAACAAATTGAAGTATAAAAACCATATGATCATCTCAATAGATGCAGAAAAAGCTTTTGACAAAATTCAACACCCATTTATGATAAAAAAGTAGGCATAGAGGGAACTTTCCTCAACATAATAAAAGCCATATATGACAAACCCACAGCCAACATCGTTCTCAATGGTGAAAAATTGAAACCATTTCCTCTAAGATCAGGAACAAGACATGGATGTCCACTCTCAGCACTATTATTCAACATAGTTTTGGAAGTTTTAGACACAGCAATCAGAGAAGAAAAAGGAATCCATGTTGGAAAAGAAGAAGTAAAGCTGTCATTGTTTGCAGATGATATGATACTATACATAGAGAATCCTTAAGATGCTACCAGAAAACTACTAAAGCTAATTAGTGAATCTGGTAAAGTTTCAGGATACAAAATTAATGCACAGATATCTCTTGCATTCCTATACACTATTGATGAAAAATCTGAAAGAGAAATTAAGGAAGCACTCCCATTTACCATTGCAATGAAGAGAATAAAATACCTAGGAATAAACCTACCTAAGGAGACAAAAGACCTGTATGCAGAAAACAGTAAGACACTAATGAAAGAAATTAAAGATGATACAAACAGATGGAGAGATATCCCATGTTCTTGGATTGGAAGAATTAACATGTGAAAATGACTATACTACCCAATGCAATCTACAGATTCAGTGCAATCCCTATCAAACTACCAATGGAATTTTTCACAGAACTAGAACAAAAATCTTCACAATTTGTATGGAAACACAAAAGACCCCGAATAGCCAAAGCAATCATGAGAAAGAAAAACAGAGCTGGAGGAATCAGGCTCCCAAACTTCAGACACTACTGCAAAGCTACAGTAATCAAGACAGTATAGTACTGTCACAAAACAGAAATATAGATCAATGGAACAGCATAGAAAGCCCAGAGATAAACCCACGCACATATGGTCACCTCATTTTTGATAAAGGAGGCAAGAATATACAAGGGAGAAAAGACAGCCTCTTCAATAAGTGGTGCTGGGAAAACTAGACAGCTATGTGTATAAGAATGAAATTAGAACACTCCCTAACACCATACACACAAATAAACTGAAAATGGATTAGAGACCTAAATGTAAGGCCAGACACTATAAAACTCTTAGAGGAAAACACAGGCAGAACACTCTATGACATAAATCACAGCAGGATCCTTTTTGACCCACCTCCTAGAGAAATGGAAATAAAAACAAAAATAAACAAATGGGACTTAATGAAACTTCAAAGCTTTTGCACAGCAAAAGAAACCATAAACAAGATGCAAAGACAAAGAATGGGGAAAATATTTGCAAATGAAGCAACTGAGAAAGGATTAATCTCCTAAATTTACAAGCAGCTCATGCAGCTCAATATCAAAAAAACACCCAATCCAAAAATGGGCAGAAGACCTAGATAGACATTTCTCCAAAGATATGCAGATTGCGAACAAACACATGAAAGGATGCTCAACATCACTAATCATTAGAGAAATGCAAATCAAAACTACAGTGAGGTTATCACCTCACACCAGTCAGAATGGCCATCGTCAAAAAATCTACAAACAACAAATGCTGGAGAGGGTGTGGAGAAAAGGGAACCCTCTTACACTGTTGGTGGGAATGTGAATTGGTACAGCCACTATGGAGAACAGTATGGAGGTTCCTTAAAAAACTAAAAATAGGGCTTCCCTGGTGGCGCAGTGGTTGAGAGTCCACCTGCCGATGCAGGGGATGTGGGTTCATGCCCCAGTCCAGGAAGATCCCACATGCCGCGGAGTGGCTGGGACCATGAGCCATGGTCGCTGAGCCTGCGCGTCCGGAGCCTGTGCTCTGCAACGGGAGAGGCCACAAGAGTGAGAGCCCCGCGTACCACAAAAAACAAAAACTAAAACAAAAAAAACTAAAAGTAGAACTACCACATGACTCAGCAATCCCACTCCTGGGTATATACCCTGAGAAAACCATAATTCAAAGAGTCATGTACCACAATGTTCATTGCAGCTCTATTTACGATAGCCAGGACATGGAAGCAACCTAAGTGTCCATCGACAGACGAATGGATAAAGAAGATATGGCACATATATACAATGGAATATTACTCAACCATAAAAAGAAATGAAATTGAGTTATTTGTAGTTAGGTGGATAGACCTAGAGTCTGTCATACAGAGTGAAGTAAGTCAGAAAGAGAAAAACAAATACCATATTCTAACACATATATATGGAATCTAAAAAAAAAAAAAGGTTCTGAAGAACCTAGGGGCAGGACAGGAATAAAGACGCAGACCTAGAGAATGGACTTGAGGACACGGGGAGGGGGAAAGGTAAGCTGGGCCGAAGTGAGAGAGTGGCATGGACATATATACACTACCAAAGGTAAAATAGATAGCTTTGGAAAGCAGCCACATAGCACAGGGAGATGAGCTCGGTGCTTTGTGACCACCTAGAGGGGTGGGATAGGGAGGGTGGGAGGGAGACGCAAGAGGGAGGGGATACGGGGATATATGTATATGTATAGCTGATTCACTTTGTTGTACAGCAGAAACTAACACACCATTGTAAAGCAATTATACTCCAATAAGGATGTTTAAAAAATAGAATAAAATAAAAAAATAAAAATGAGTTTGATGCCTCAATCCTATGCCAGAGGGAACTCGTTTCAGTGTGTCCACTGTGGTCCCCAGTGGGCCCATGAAGCCAGCTCATGGATTAGACTTACTCTTTGAGCAAATAAGCCTGTCTTAGAACTGTGAGTTCTTCTTTAGAATGCATCCTGGCATTTGCTTCATTTTGGTTTAAAGTTTGTTTCATGGCTCCTAATGACAGATTCAAATCCAAAATGCTTGATGTAGGAGAAAATGAAAGCTTCTCAGGGCTGAGGAGGTGAAGCTGGAAGAAAGGAAATGAACTGGACAAAGGAAATGGAGCAATCTGGAAGGGACAGCCTGGGGAGAGGGAGGAGCAAGCTGCAAACAGAATTCTTCAGTAGGGCTTGCAGCAGGCACCCAGGAGGCCACTCTGAGCCACTGGCACACTCCCAGGAGGTGTGGCTTGCTTGCAGGAGTGTGGGCTGCCCACTGACCAAGGCTCAGGAGCCCAGGACGTAGCAGCAACAGCCAGCTCCAAGCCACAAGCTCCAGGGCTGCGCTGACTTTGGGCGGCTTGGCTTCAGGAGTCTCTCCAGCCTTCCTCGCAGACAGGGTGGCTGGCAGGTTGCTGGGATACAGATGAATGGCGGGTCCTTTTTTTTTTTTTTTTTAGCATCTTTATTGGAGTATAATTGCTTTACAATGGTGTGTCAGTTTCTGCTGTATAACAAAGTGAGTTCAGCTATATATAAACATATATCCCCGTATCTCCTCCCTCTTGCGTCTCCCTCCCACTCTCCCTGTCCCACCCCTCTAGGTGGTCACAAAGCACCGAGCTGATCTCCCTGTGCTATGCGGCTGCTTCCCACTAGCTCTCGATTTTACATTTGGTAGTGTATACTCCCAAGCACGATCTTAGGTGAGATGAAGGTGTGGCTCACAATTAATAAATGAAGAATAAATCGTCCTCTGGATTTGCAGCCTCCAATCCAATGCATCAGGATCTTGACTCTACATGAGAGCTGTGTTCTGCTCTATTCAAGTACTTCTTGGCCACCTCATATGCACAACACCGAAAAGAAGAATCAAAATAAGCATCTCACATTCAGAGGCAGCACACAATGCTGCTCGAGTGAAGTGGGAGGGAATCAGGATGGCAGAGTAAAAGGATGTGGATCTCACTTCCACCCGCAAATGCATCAAAAATACATCTACAGGGGCTTCCCTGGTGGCGCAGTGGTTGGGAGTCCGCTTGCCGATGCAGGGGACGCGGGTTCGTGCCCGGTCCGGGAGGATCCCACATGCCGCGGGGCGGATAGGCCCGTGAGCCGTGGCCGCTGAGCCTGGGCGTCCGGAGCCTGTGCTCCGCAACGGGAGAGGCCACAACAGTGAGAGGCCCGCGTACCGCAAAAAAACACACAAAAAACATCTACAAACAGAGTGAAATGGGGCGCTTCACATCGTGGAGATGGAGGCATGCTGCTAGAGGCAACCTTCCGCGTAGGCACCTACGTATTCTACAGAAGGTTTGAACAGGTGCGTAGTGTGATGAAATCAGACTTTTTTCTTTAAATTCATTTTATTTATTTTTGGCAGCTTTGGGTCTTCGTTGCTGCGTGCGGGCTTTCTCTAGTTTCGGCGAGCGGGGGCTACTCTTCGTTGTGCTGTGTGGGCTTCTCACTGCAGTGGCTTCTCTTGTTGCGGAGCACGGGCTCCAGGCGTGTGAGCTTTAGTAGTTGTGGCACGCAGGCTCAGTAGTTGTGGCACACGGGCTTAGTTGCTCCGAGGCATGTGGGATCTTCCCGGACCAGGGCTCGAACTCGTGTCCCCTGCATTGGCAGGCGGATCCTTAACCACTGCACCCCCAGGGAAGCCCGAAATCAGACTTTTAAAAACACTGACCTGACAGCAGAGTAGGCAGAAGAGGGGAGAGGCAGAAAGATGGCTGAGGCAGTGGATGCACCAGTCCGATTTCACTTGTCGAAGCCAGACAACACAGAAGGTAGGGTTTCTAGGATGGTTGTGAGACTCAGGTGTGAGGCCTGACACACAGCCAACAGCAAATGAACATCAGTTCCCCTTTCCTCTAATCAGGGCACGTGTAGTGGCAGTGTATGTAAAGTACAGATGGAAGAGATCTTACTGGGGAAAGAGCAACAAATTTGGCAAATACTTGGATATAAAAAATGTAAAAGAGGAAAAGAACCCAAGGGAACGCTGGGATTTCGAATTTTAAAAGTCAGATCTTTAAGTAAGGGGTGCAGGCCGGAAGAGTAGTAGTTTTGAGAGACAGAGGAGTTGACTTTTGGACCATGAATTTGGACTTGAATCATTACAGGGACAATATGGATTCAAGAATCCCTGACATAGAGGTGAAATCAGAAGTGGGTTTACCTCGGAGCTCAAGTTTTCGTGCCTCTAACTTTCCCCAGACACTTCCAAAAGGGCATAGCTGCTGTTGTGTTGGTATATAAGTTTTTATTGTTTTTCTTTTAAAAGCTCCCTCATGAGTTACACAAGCTTCAGGCCCCACAAAATCTGGGCGCCTTCAGGTTGAAGTCAGAAGGCAGTACCCATGGGATAATGGGAAATAAAGAGTTGGAAGAACCTGGTTACCGTCCTCAAAGGACAAGAAGGGTCAGCAGAGGAGGCAGAAGAGGCAGAGAGAAGGCCTGTAGGCCAGGATGCTGCAGGACATCAAAGGACTGAGGGGCTGAGGACGGGTCACTGGACTTGACCCTTCAAAAAAGTGACTGATTTTAGAATGCACACTCAGTACATTGTAGGGAAGCCCAGGTTGGAGGGGGGCTTGACAAGCAGGAAGTGTGCAGTGGCTCGACTCCTCATCTGGCAAGACTGACATAAAAGAAAAGGAGAGGATGCCGTTAGCCCCTCACTTTGATATTCTGTAATTTAACTTTTGCCTGTGCAGTCAGTATTCCTTTGGGGTTAATATTAAGTCCCCGAGCATGGGGCTTTCTCTTTTATTACACTTCCCACTCCTTGAGATTTTCTGTGGTCTTAGTCGGATCTCCTTCTCTTGACGGTTAGCGTCAGCCCGGTCCATGGCTAAAAAACGGGCTGTTGGTGGGCAGAATTTTGCTTTTTGCTTGTTTGTTTGTTTTCAGTTTTTACCCTAATAGCTCCTCTTTTTCTATTCCTGTGGAGGTTGAGAATTCTGTCCTGTGAGTTCAGGGGCTGTGGACCAGCGTGGAGAGGCGGAAGTCATCAGGCTCCAGAGGCTGGATAAGCCCTGGTCTGTTAACTGGGAGCACAGAGCCAAAGGCAGCAATGACTTCATCCCCGCAGAGGGCGCCTCCCCACCCCTGCAGCTGATTTCAGATCAGTCGGTTCTCCGGGGATAGGTTTTCTTTGATTACTCGGTTCTCACTGCCTGACATCATAAGTCACTTTGAAAAAAGATGCGATAAAACCATTCCCTGGTTTCCTCCTGTGAGGAGCCTTTCCCAGACAGCATCTGTTCATGTGATCAGTCCTGGAGTGGACTTTTTCTTTGATATATAACTGAAAGGTTTCTGTTACCATCATCATTGAGGAGATTAAAAAAAAAAGAAAAAGAAAGAAAGAAAGAAGGAAAGAAAGAAAGAAAAGAAAAGTAACAAACTTGCAGGATGGCAGGTCCCAGGGAGAAGCTGACCTTTGGGAAGCTCCGGCCCGGCTGGGACTCGGCCACGCGGGCTGGGACAGTTCACCCAGATGCTGCCTCCTGCTCCAAGGAAAAACGAGTGTGTTGGGCAGAGGGTGGCCTGTGTGCGCGCGGGGTTTGAGCTGAGCGTGAATGAGTGTGCGTGTGCGCACATGTGTGTGCGCGCGCGTGTGCGCAGGAGAGGGTGTCGGGGAGGCTGCTGCAGAGGCTCCTTTGTGGAGCCACTTGCCAGTTCAGAGCCAGCTTGCCGCCTCCCCTGGCTGGTTCCACGAGGACACCTAGCTCTTCTTCACAGTCCGTACATCTCTGTCCCCCGCCGCCGCCCCTACTGTCCTCGGTGGCCGCCCCGCTCCAGCCTTCAGGTGCTGGCAGCTGCCTGCCGGGTGGCGGCTCCCAGGCCTCCGAGGCCCCGCGCAGGTGAAGGTGAGCGCCGCAGCGCCGATGTTGGCGCTCAAGGGTGGGAGGGAGGAAGGGCTGAGCTGGAAAGGGCGTGCTGCCCTTTGCAGCTGGCGCTGGGAGCAGCCTGGTCTGCAGCATTGTTACCTGAGGCAGCGGCCGCGCCCCGCCCCGCGCCGCCCTGCCCCCTCGCGGCCCCGAGCAGCCCTGACTGCAGTGACCCAGGAGGAGGCGACGGCGCTGGGAGACCGCGGGCGGCGGGGAGAGAGGAGCGCGCGCTGGGAGCGCCGGCCGCGGGTGAGTGAGTCGCACGGCCCAGGCAGAGCGATCGCTGCTCAGGGGCACCCGGGGACCGAGCCTCCTCGGCTCCGGAGGGCCGGGGGCGGGGATCCGTCAGGACCGAGGCACTGAATCTCGGCTGCCTTCAAGCCTCACCGGGAAGGCTGGGGAGGTTTGAGCTCCCCCGACTTTGACGGCTGCACTCCCTGGGCCGCAGAGGACAGCCATCCGTCCTTTGAGGGGAAGACGCGCGCGTCTGGACCAGCTAGGTCCCGGGCCGCCTCCGGGTTAAACTTGGGCCGGCTGATTTAGCTTTAGCTGCCAGGACTTTTGGCTAAACTGAGCTCCCACTTGATCCCCGCCCGTCCAAGAGCGAGCAACTGGGGGCGCCCGCGCCGGGTCCCTGCCCAGCAGGGAAGCCACGACTTGCCCCTCCTGACTGTGGTGCGGGGCTGGCCACGACCGCGTCCGGGTGATACGGACCGAGGACAAGGCGGTACTCGCTCTGGCACGTTCGCTCTGCCCGTGCGAAGTTCAGCTTAGAAGTTGAGCCCTGCGCTTGTGGAAGTTTAGGGAGGAAGTGGGTGGGCTGGCGGGTCACCTCCAGCCTCTTTAGTGCCCCAGCTCGGGGACACCGGGCTCTCGGTTTAATCCTCCGACCAAACACCAGGAGTCTCCCCTCTGTGTTTTTCTCGCCGGCTCTTCCCCGCTCCTTTTGGCTGCTCCGCACTGCGGCCGTGAGGCTCTCTCCCCCCTGCGCTCGGGACCCGGACCCCAGACGTGGGGAGGTGTCGCCGCGGAGGTTCGAGGAGGGGGCGGAGCCCGCAAACTGGGAGATCCCCCTTTCGCTTCAAGCACACTGACACCTTCCCTAGTGAGCCCCCCACTCCGCTCGGAGGAGCCAGGTTCGGCGGCCCCCGTGAAGGGGGCGGGGCGTCGGGGATCCGCGGGGGAGGCGGGGGCCCTCGAGGCGAGGGGCGGGGCCGGCGATCCCTGCGGGGCTCCGGGAGGGGCGAGCTAGTGCGGCTGCCGCTCCACTAAGCTTCTGCCTGAGGACGCGCGCGCGCTCGGTGCCCGCGGGAGGTAGAGGGTTCCGCCGTGCCCCGGCGTCCGCCCAGTGGACCCGCGTGTCCTCGCGCGGCGGGCGGCGGCCCCTCCGCGGCGCGCGCCTCGGCCCCGCCGCAGAGCCTACGCGGCGCGTGTGGGCGTCTGTCTGGGCCGCGCACCGGCGCCCGCTCTTTCACTCCTTCCGCAGCCGCCCAGATAAGGACGCGCTGGGGCTGGCGGCCCGCGGACTCCCCGGGGACTCGGACGGACGCGGCGCCCTCCGAGCCTTTCGTGCGGCCGAGCCTGTGGCGCTTTGGTGAGTGGCTGGGGCGGGACGCGGGCCGAGGGTTGGGGGCGGAAGGACGCGGTGGACCACCCGCCACTTCAGAGACCTAGGGCGTCCAGACTCTGCGAAAGAAATCGGGCCCCCGGTGTCCCCCACGCCGAGTTTCTTCAGGACCCAGGAGTCCTTTTTCAAACAGCTGTTTGCACAGAAACTGCGCCTGCTGTTCGGCCGTCTGTGACCCCCCTCTCGTCTCCTGACCCACAGTTGTCTTCCTGGAATGAGTCGCGAGCGCTTCCTTTCCTCTCTAGAGCATCCTTTGGCACCCGTTTGCTTTGTTTGGGGACATTGAGAGAAGCTGAAAATGCACATTCAGAAACAGGCGTTTTTTCCTCTGCTCCCAGGGTGTTGCGCTGGGGGGCATCTGTGGATTGTTTATGTTGTGCGGCGGCAGATTAAACGCGCGGACTGGAAACATCTTGGGTCCTTCCACTGCTGGCGAGAGTGCCAAGGTGAAGAGCTGGATGTTGCCAGCTCTGGTTTGACTGTGGGGTTGACGTGCTGTGTTCAATAATCCAGAAAGATTTTGAAAGATAGGTGGTTGGGGAGGAGCCTGTTCCCAGTGAGTTGGTGGAGAGCAAAAACTCCATATTTAAAAATGGCCTGTCCCTTCCCCACCCTCTCTTCTCCCCCCAATAAAATAGGGCCGTGTGTTCCTCTGCCTCTCCTCCACACCCGGCTTGCTCTGCCCCCGTTTGTCATCAGAAGGGTGTGGGCCAGCCTTTCCTGATCCCACCTCATCTGTGACACATGTCAGGAATCAAGGGGAAAAGGTTTTTCTGGTGTGGCGTTTACTTCTGATTATTGCTGACCGGCTGAGCAACCGTTTTTCAGGAGAGCTCTGAGCCCTAAACGGGCTTTCAGAAACGTGTTTTCCTCCTAAATACACTGTGAAATTAAGCATACTTACTCTTTTCTTCCCTCCCACCCACTCCCTTGAAGAGAATAGAGCTTCAACGATGTTTCTGACACCACGAGCAAAGTAATCCTGGCTATTTAGGCAAGAGAGTTTAGGAGGGGCCCCAGGGCTTCTTTGACGACCCTTATTCTTCTCATTCTAAGACTTTTTGCTTGCTGATCAGCTAAAAGCTAGGTACATGGCCACAACATCCCCTTATTAAAAATCCACACAGTTGGGAGATGCTCAGCTGAGCTAGTAGCCTCCCCAGGAGGGGCCTTCACGGGGACTTACCCCAGTGGGTCATGATTAGCACCCAGGGGGCTCAAAGAGAAGTTCTCATCTTCAGAGACTTACTGTGACAGCTGTACAGTTTACTCAGGGCTGGTCATTTGTCAACCTTAGCAGCCATCCCCCCTGCTGCTGCTGAGGTCCCCAACCTGTAGGTGAGATGTTAAATACAAGCCTGTCTCTGTTTGCCCTGGGGAGATTGATGGGACACTTGACATTTTCCAGATACAGCCTAAGGCTAATTCCATTGTCCTTGCCGGCGGCTGCCCGCTGTGTGAAACAGCCGTCTTTGGGGCTGCTGCATCACCTATGTTCTCCTAGCATATTGGGAGAGTATGCGTTTGCATCTTTACTGCGGACAGTACCATAGTAAATCGAATATTCTTTGTGTATCCTCTGTTTTAATATCTCGTGAGACTGTGGAAAGGGTTAGAATGTGTGTCTGCACTCTCTTTTTCCTGCCATCTCTTTGACATTGGAAATCCTGGCCCAAGGGGGAAACCCTATCAAAGCCCTATTGAGGCTTGTAGTAAAAGCATTAGCATCTTAGCTAATCATTGCTGGAGAGCTCATTCATTAGAAGCTGTTGGGGGCCTAGGATCCTTGTATGTTACCCTGGGAAAAAATTAGCCAGACAACATACCAGGAACAATGTTGTAAATTTTCTTTTGTTCCTTTAACTTTCTAAAATAACATTCTTTCTTAAGACGTGACAGTGGTTAGAATCCTGCTGATGCATAGCTAACGTGTGTCACTTTTCACTTTGACAAGCTTTAATCTGGTACTTCCTCTGCAAAACAGACTATACTCAAAAGGACTCACATGCTTTGGGGCTTTGGTATTAGAAGATGGTGTTGCACGACCTCCGAGGGCATAGTCTCTTTCACTCTTTCTTAGTATCTCTACATTTGCTCTGTGAGGTTTAATGGCACAGCTGTGCATATACTAATGCAGCACTGAATGAGTTATTGCTCTCTAGGTTGGAGACTTTTTTAGCTTATCACCGTTCTTAACAGAGACAGTCTATAAACAAGTCAGCATATCTGGAACTGGAGGTGAATTGGAGGATTAGCAATTCTTCAATACATGAGATATTTCATGTACAGAAGTATTTTAAAATATGTAAGGATAAACTGCCAAGATTACCTGTACAGTCTTGAGAAAAGAAGAGTTCAGATCTAACTATAAACTGTAATTGACAGTGAGTCATGTGCTTTAGGGATGCCAACTATGAAAGCAGCCTAGTTGTGCCCCTAATGATAATTATGAAAACTCCTTTTAAAAGCTAGTTGCATCTCAAGTGAGCTGTAAGTTGACTTGGAGAAATATTTTCAGTTTTACTTTCTAAAACATTATCCCATGATAACACTGCACAGCACTGCGAATGTACTTAATGCCACTGATGTACACTTAAAAGCGGTTAAAATGCTAAAAAAAAAAATTATCCAGTAAATAGTTGGAAATGCTATTTTCTACCCATACGTAATTTCCAGAACTTAAATATTTAAATGTTTCATAAAAACATGTGTTCTTGTAATGTAGAGATAACAATATACTACCACTGAGTATTGAAAAGGGACCGAGCTCACAAACCTAGTAACTTAGAAAGCAGAGAATGGAAATATTAAAGGTATGATTCTAGTAGCCAAGGGTAACCTAGCGTTTTACCTATAAACCCAATACATATTTTAAAGCAAATGTAGTGCCTGTGAAAATAAAGAGAAATCGTATGTACCTGTGACACCAGTTGTTAATAATGGCTAACTATGTACCATCCTGGTAAGGGTGTACACATATGAGCTCATTTATTCTCATACAAACCAATGGAATGGTATATGCTTATAGGATAGAGGAGGATGCTGAAACATAGGTTAGATAAACTACCTCACCCCAGGTTGCACACCTAAAGAAGTAGCAGAACTGGGATCTGAGGAAAAGCAGTCTGTTCTTGGAGTCTCCCCTCTTACTCCCAAGGCAGTCCTGCCTTTTGTGTATGATTCTGTGTAAAAGATTTAATAATATTTGAATTAGTGATATCAGACCATTTACTCCTGTAGAATTCTGCATTGTGTGTTGAAGATGTGTAACTATGAGCTTTGAACAATAATGCTGTAGAAGGCTAATTCCTTTCAGAAGTCCAGTCTAAGAAGCCCCTCCACATGACCCGTTATGACCTAGATGAAACAGCCCCCTTTTCACACACCCGAATAGTTGGGGTGCTCATTCCACAAGCCTACACGGGGCCCCGTGTTCTACATCTCCACTTACCTGTCCTCACATCTGAAGACCTGTAGTTATTTTGACCCCTGTTTTCACTTCAGGTCCACAACAAATGAACAAAAACGAATATTTAAAGGTCAATAAAAACACAAGCCACCAAGATAAGTCAGTGACCGAGTGGATAAGGGGTAGCCGTGTGGCAGGAGTGATTCGGGCAGCATCCCCTTGTGTGTGTGTGTCTCCTCTGCTGGTAGCGTCACAGAAGAAGCAGAAGAGGCACTGAGAAGTTCTGGTGGTTTCCAGAGAGTTAAGCTCCAGAGAGCTTAACCAGAACCCAAAACGATCGCATCAGAAGTGACGGTGGAGGTCAGTGCCAACCTCCTGATTTGACAAGTGAGAAACTCCAAATCTAGTGAGGCCAAATGGCTTTTCTAAAATTGTAAGCAGGAAAGCTTGACTTAGAGCCGGAACCTTTTATCTTCGTGTCCGGCGTTCTTTTCTCTATTTGCGAGGGAGCAGCATCACCAAGTGTAGGGAGAAGACGATGGCACTGACTCCAGGGGAAGGAGTTTGGCAATTATTTTATCATCCCCGAATGCCCTGCCTATTATGTGCAAGGTGGAGGATGCCCTTTGACCCACTAATGGGTAGGGGACATGTCCGTACTGGAAAAAGACAGAGTCACTAGGGCTGCAGCCATTTGGGTAATTTCCCCAGGGGTTGGGGATCCACTGCCCAAAGAAAACGAGCCAGTTAATGAACAAGTAGCTTGTTCAGAAAGTGAGCAGCACTTGCTGAACCTATTGCGGGTTCTTGGTAAATATGTGCTTTATTGATGAATGGAAGGTTTCCAGGTTGGATTTATTGCCGCTGCTTTGGCAGCATTTCCAGGTAGTAAAATTTGGTCCCCATTTAGAAAAGTATTAGTCCCTTTTAGTTCTCTTTTGGATGTGTGGCCCCTCATTGATTTTAATATCCAACTACTCTGGGAGGACTGGCACTGGCCTCGGAAGGGAGTCGCTAGTATAGCAATGTTTTCCTGCACTGGTTTTAAAGTTGTTTTATCTTTGCAGGTTTGGAAGATGACACACAACGCAGTTGCCTTTGCTCTGGCGGCAGACTAGCGGGCGGAAAAGTATGACACAAATTTGATGTCGGTGTCTGCTTGTCTGCTTCCCCAAGGTCAAGAAATTATCTCCTTAGAAGGCAACAGTACTATGCACGTTATGAATTGTGTCTCCTTGGTCAGTGATAAAGGAAATGGGAATATTGCCACGACAGCTGGATTCATGATTGGGCAAACGCCGCCACCACCACCTCCTCCTCTACCCCCTCCACCTCCACCATGCCCATACTCAGGGAAAGGGTTTCCTCCCCCTCCCCCTCCCCCTCCACTGCCTGGGGGGCCTCCGGTCCCCCCTCCCCCCCCAGGACTACCCCCAACCTCTCACCTGAACGGCTACAGCCACCTCGGTAAGAAAAAGCGGATAAGGAGCTTTTTTTGGAAAACCATTCCAGAGGAGCAAGTTCGTGGCAAAACCAACATCTGGACCTTGGCAGCCAGGGAGCAGTGTCACTACCAGATTGATACAAAGAGCGTCGAGGAGCTGTTTGGGCAGCAAGAAAATACCACCAAGTCTTCCCCTTCTGGGCGAGGAGGGCCTTTAAATTCGTCCTTCAGGGAGGGCAGAGAAGAGGTAAGAATGGTCCACGGAGGGATGGTTCTCCCCACACTGCACTGTTTTGTGTTTGGGGACGTGTGTACATTTCAAAACCTGCTAGAATCACTGAGAAATAAGATAATGCAAGTGAACGTGCTTTGGAAATGATGAGCTTGAGCTGAGTAGCAAAAAAGTGTGAGAGGCATGCGAGCCATATCCTGGCAGACATCCCAGAGGATGGTGACCTCATGCGGGGAACATGCTATCTGGAGGCCTCGCTCCTGGCCTCCCGGCAGCACCTTGCCTCCAGCACATCTGCCTGGTTTCCGCTGGTGGAGCAATTCTGCTGAAGGCCAGTATTATGAGTCGCCATTGAAACAAAAACCTGAGCTCCTGAACTCAGTTACCTGAGATTAACTGGAGGTTTCTGAGACAAAGTGCCTTTTATTTAATAACATCATTAAATAGTGTACATCCTTAGACTTTTATCTTTATTTTTCCCTCCAGCTTTCGTTCCACAAGTGTTGTGAGGTGGCCTTCGTTCTTCGGATCTCTGAATTAAGTGTTGGCCATTGTGTAACAGATTCCAGAGAGCCAAAGCATAAAGCTATTTTCAGATAGACTTTCTGCAAAGCACATTTCCAGTGAACAGGAACTGTGTTACTTTGAGGAAAATATAAAGCTAGCAAGTTAGGACTTCCCTAGAGGTCCAGTGGTTAAGACTTCGCCTTCCAACGCAGGGGGTGCGGGTTCGATCCCTGGTCGGGGAGCTAAGATCCCACGTGCCTTGTGGCCAAAAAGCCAAAACAAAAAAAGAACAGAAGCAATATTGTAACAAACTCAATAAAGACTTTAAAAATGGTCCACATCGAAAAAATCTTTAAAAAAAATAAAATAAAGCTAGCAAGTTATAAGAAGGTAAGTGAAAGCCTGGCTTCAGAGCTACAGGTCACCGAACATCATAGAAACTGAGTAAAAAATTACATTTCTAAGTACTCTCTGGTTAGAAACATGAAAGTAAATTAAGAAACCTCTATTTGCTAGAAGAAATAATTAGGAAACCGGGGTTAAAAGAAAAGAAAGCTGTCCCCCCCACCACAAAAAAAAGGGGGTGGCAACAGAAATGCATCATTTTTTAATCTGTTGTAAAGGAGCAGAGAAAATAGGTCAAAGATAGAGCTGACTAGATAAGAGCGTGGGCAGGCAGGGCTCTGGAATGAAGTAGCAGCTCTCTGCATTATTGAATTCTTGAGCTGACAGTATTGACCTCTTTTCTCTGTCTGGCTCAGGAATTCACTTGGGGGCCCTTGAAGCTGGCGGGATGGTCCCCCGTTGAAATAGCCAAGAGTCTATTTATTATAAAATGTGGAGAATCCTAGGACTAGAATTAGGCGTAAGCTGTGAGATGATTTGTGAGGAAGTCTTCAGGACATCCTCAGTGCCCTCCTGTGCCGAACCTGGCCTTCCCTGCTCTTTCCTTTATGCAAAGGCCTTTGATTTCTCAGTGCATCCTTTCAGTATCAGAAGGAGCAAGAAGTCATTTCCTTAGTACACTGGCCTCTGCCCCAGCTTCCAGCAGAGGCTCCTTGCTGGGCAGTAGGTCATGCTCACCAGTGTTTCCTAGCTCTACTTACTGGCCTTGAAGCATTTTAAAGGAAAGAGTGGATGGGTGCGTGGAGACGGAGCTCATGTCTCAGGAAAGCCCCTGTCACACACAGAAGGGGGTCTGGCTTGATCACGCTCCTGGGGAGGCAGCTGACCAGGTTAGAATGGGCAGTGTCCTTTATAAACTGGGGACGTTTATTTGGCCGGTGATAGTTCAGGGGGCTGTGTGGAACTTGCTGCTTTATGTTAGTGACTTCAAGAGGGGTTAAGACCCACTGATGGAAGGAAGTGGCAGGGTGTGTGGCATCTTTTCCCACCTATGGCAGAAGCAGAGAAGTCCATTTCTTAGGCCAGATCTAAAATTCAGGTAAAAAGAATCTTTCTTTTTGCCTCTCTCCACCCTAGGTACATTTCTTTACTCTTTTTGTTTGTTTTTCTTTAACTTTAAAAAAAGAAAAAACCTGAAACTGAACAATTATTTTTTAAACGGTGGGAAAATATATGTAACATAACATTCACCCTCTTAACAATTTGTAAGCGTACAGTTCAGTGGCACAGAAACATCCACGTTGTTGGAAGGCTGCCATCACTATCCATCCACAGAATCCTCTGCATCTCGCAAACTGAAACGCTGTTCCCCATTCCCCCCCTCCCCCCAGCCCCTGGGAGCCACCCTTCTACTTTCTGTCTCTATGAACCTGAGTACTCTAGGTACCTCACACAGTATCTGTCTTTTTTTTTTTCTTTAAAGGAACCATTTAAGAGTTTCAGAAGAGTTGTTTTTTTTTTTTGGCCACGTGGCATGTGGAATCTTAGCTCCCTAACCAGGGATCGAACCCACACCCCCTGCATTGGAAGAGCGGAGTCTTAACCACTAGACCATCAGGGAAGTCCCAGTATTTGTCTTCTTGTGACTGGACTGTTTTACTCAGCATAATGTCCTAAAGGTTCATGCATGTTGTAGCATGTACCAGAATTTTAAGGCTGAATAATATTCCATTGTATGTATATACCACATCTTGTTTATCCAGTCATTTGTTGATGGACACTTGGGTTGCTTCCACCTTTTGGCTTTTGTGAATAATGCTGCTATGAATGGTGGGTGTGCAGATATCTTTAACACATGTAGGTTCTAATCTGCGAGATAGCAGTCTAGAAAGAAAAATTAAACTGCCATGACTGTGTATCATAAGATAATCTAACTCTTCAACTTCTCAGTACTCAGGTAGGATAAGTAGTGTAGGTGGATGGATTTAAGGGAAGATTAGATAATATTGTCACATCACAGAGGGTTACCCAGAATTAGTTTCCATTTTTCATGCTATCTCCAACATGGCTTGAAGTATTATATATACTTTTTTTTTTTTTGGTAAAAGACTATAGTACATGCTGTTTTCTTCCCTCATTAGATTTTCTTTAAAGAAGTTACAGTGCAGCAGAATGATAGTCTAACATGGACCAGTAATAAATCTTCCAATTCACTCTGTACAAAGTAGAGTCCAGGGTTGAAACTGTGTGGACTGGAGAATACATACACATAGCGTGTTTGGCCGAGGGACCCATCCTGAGCCTGGAAACGTGGCCTTCCCATCTGCTGCCACACAGCTCATAATTCTGAAGCCTCAGACATGCCACGGATCAGATTATGTTCCCTTGAAATGTAATAACCTCCTACAGAAATGGCCTGCCATTATGAGGTTGGCTCCGGCTTTAAAGGACCCGTAAAGCACTACAAATAAGTTCCGTTATGCTACGAAGGAAGAAGTTACTGGGAGACAGGGAAGAGCTGGGTTTGGGAATGGCTGAATTTAGGTAGAACAACATCTGAAATAGTAAGTTAGAACATGTAGTAAAGGGGGAAGTGGTTTTGTCTCTTTGCTAGACAAAAATTAACTTGAAGAAGCTACAGATGTTACAATAATAAACTTTAGTAATTAGAAATAACAAAGGGTATTACTGGGGATAATAATAAAGAGGTTCAACTCAAATTCCACCTTCTTTTCCGAGTTTGGTGATCTCACATTTGAGAAGCCCCCATCCATCTGTTAGCACTGCTCTTCAGCCCCTCAGAACTGGTTACTTGGGGCTACCCTTGTCTCCCTACAGAATCTGAAATGCTCTCAAGGCAAGGACAGCCCTAGCCATTTGGTATCCTCCAAAGAAAGTAAACTGAACTGACAGAACTGAACCAAGGGAGCAAAGAGGCTATCTTATAAGGTATCAGTATGATAAGTCAAAATAGGGGTTCACAGAGAAAACACAATAATATGAATAGGGTCTAAGGACGTAATGTGAAACCTGGTGACTATAGTTGATAACACTGTATTCTGTAATTGAAATTTGCTAAAAGAGTAGAACTTAATTGTTCTCACCAATAAATAAGTAAATATGTGAGGTGATGGAGGGAATGTATACAAGTATATAGTGTAAACATATATCAAATCACCGTGATGTGCACCTTGAATATCTTACAGTTTTATTTGTCAATTATACCTCCATAAAACTGAAATTTAAAAATGAAAAAGAAAATGCAAACATTGAAACACTTGAGGTCATTCACTATGGTATCTGTGGTAATATTACAATTAGTGTTAGTTAATTATCCCACATAAGAAATAATAAAAATTGCTTATTAGAAAAAGAGAGGACAGGAAAGAGAGAGGAAGGAAGGAAGATTGGTTTTTCTAAGTTTGTGAAAAGTAATGTTATTCTCCCACACAGTAATTCAGGTATCAGTCATTCTTTGTCAACTTTTGTTACGGTCCCAGAATGTTCTAGAATTCTGAGACATGCTCAGTTGAGAACTATAGAAGTAGGTAGAGTATTTGAAAGGGAAAAAAAAGCTTCAACTGGACTATCATTTTTTTCCTCAGAGCTGGGGGAGGGACATTACCCAAGGAAAGCCAACCAAAAATTTAAAAAGAATGAAAAACCATCAGAACCCAAAAGCTAAGTCTATATTAGTGGATACAGGAAGATTTTTTAAATATTGCTTTTCAGATCTGACAGAGGATTGAAATAACTACTATTTAGTGTTACTTAAGTAGGTAAGGAAGCCTCCTTTGACAAACTGAAGCTAAAGTGATTTAAGAATTTCTTCTTCCACCTTAAGGACATGACACTAAATGAAATAAACCAGTCACCAAAGGACAAATACTGTATGATTTCACTTATATGAAGTACCCAGAGTAGTCCGATTTACCGAGACAGAAAGTAGAATGGTGGCTGCCAGGGGGTGGGGAGGGGAGGTGGGGAGTTAGTGTTTAATGGGGACAGCGTTTCAGTTTTGCAAGATGAAGGGTTCTGGAGGCGGATGGTGGTGATGATTCCACAACAGTGTGAATGTACCTATTGCCACTGAACTGTACACTTAAAAACTGTTAAGATGGTAACTGTTATGTGTATTTTACCACAACTAAAAAAGAAAAGTT